AAGTGGGACGGTATAAATATTTGTTGGTAATTGTAGATCACCTAACGGGGTGGGTGGAAGCTTACCCTTGTTTTGATGAAACTACTAGAACTGTGAGCAGATTGTTGTTAGAACACATTATACCAAGATATGGGATTGTTCAAAGAATTGATAGTGATCAGGGAAAACATTTCACCGGAAAAATCACTCAAGGGATAGCTAATGTGTTGGGAATAAAATGGGATTTGCACAGTCCATGGTGCCCGCCCTCTAGTGGAAAAGTGGAAAATATGAATGGAAGGATTAAAACTATGTTAACGAAATTATATTTGGAAACAGGAATGAATTGGATGAAAACTTTGCCTATAGCCCTGTTTAGAATAAGAACACAACCTAGGAGGGATGTTGGGATTTCACCTTATGAGATGTTATTTGGCATGCCACTAAGAAATGCTGGTATACAAATGGGGAATCTACCTAGTAAAGATAAGGGACTGATTCAATACTTGCAAATACTGTCCCAGACTTTTGATTCTTTCAGAAAAACTGGCTATTTGATACAAACTCCTCCTCTAAGCTTCAAAGTCCACTCCATAGAAGTCGGAGACCAAGTGTGGATAAAGACGTGGAAAGATGATTCCCTCAAACCAAAGTGGGATGGACCGTTCTTGGTGTTATTGACCACAGACACTGCCATTCGAACACAAGAAAAGGGTTGGACTCATTATACCCGAGTAAAGAAGGCTAATCTTGAGGAGTCGGAAACATGGAAAGCATTTCAAAAAGAACCATTGAAACTGGTGTTAAAAAAACAATGACTTATATCCTTTTGAATATGACAATAGTGGCGATTGGGGGAAAATTATGGATTGAGCCGCCTAGAATCTTTGAACATAATGGAACTTGGACACAAATTCGGTGTTATAATGACAAAGAGAGTGAACACTGTCCCATGAACTGGATCTTTGAACCCAAAATTTGGTGGTGTGAATCTAAGTTGCAACCAAACTGGCAGCAAGTAGGTCAGGAGAAAAGCTGGGTAACGCAAAATAAAGGGGGTAAGTGTCAAAGTACTCTATATTTACAAGTAACCAGGGAGACTATAGGTAAATATACCTGTACCATGTGGGAAGGGAAAACTTATTTGACTAGTCACTCTTTAGTGGCTTCTCCAGACTCCTTTGAATTTCCTCCTATTCCCTTGTGGATATGGACAGCTTCGGCTATGAGGAGACACTTTCTGCGGAGAGAAAAGAGAGCAACTAGTACTATTATCTGTCTAAAAGGTGGGGGACATCAAAAGGGAGAGTTCCAATACTGGAAAACTACTCAATATGGATGTAATCTGACTCTGGAAGTAACACCAAGGCAAACCCAGAGAGATCCAGCTTGGACTTGTAAAAATCAAAGTAGAGAGTGGATGAGTGGAATTACCCAGATGTGTGAAAATGCAACCAGGGGAGACCCAAGGTGCCATTGGATAGGGAAGGCCTTGTGGTACAGTGGTTGTGGCACAGAAGGGGAAAGCACTGATTATCTCTACTTTCTATGTAACAATACTAGGAGTCAGTATTTACAACCTGAATGGGAAGGGCTGTGTGAAGTACTATGGGAAGAACTTGTTCAGACTCATCAGCCTGTCCATCCCTTATCCCCTCCTGTTAGAAAGATGAGAACTACTGTTACTACAAAACAGACCACAACGAAGTTCGGACCCTGCCAAGAGTGCACAGAATGTATTAAAAAGACCAAGCAAGGGAATATAGTTACTAGTACCTTATTATATCACACTCTAAAACCAGAATGTAATGCTACTAAAGTGCAACCTTGTGTATGTAATCAAACTCAATATTTTAGGTGTTATACAGCCCAAGGGATGCAGTGCTATGAACCAAAAGCAGTAGGTCCAATTACTGCTAGCATTTATGTATATGGATATAAAGGGGGAGTTACTGGAACAGAAGGGTTATTTGCTATAGCCCAAACTAAGGGAGGATACGTTGCCCACAATACCACAAGAGGAAATACCAAGCTGTCTGTGTGTTTTGACACTTGTAAAGCTATAAGGATAGGACAAGGACATGATAATAGACAAGGAATGAAGTGTGGTAACTTTGAGTGGGAAAAAGATTATATGAGGGAAGAAAAATATTTATTCCAAGTTGCTATGCCCGCTGCAAGTACAGGCCAGGTGGCTTTTGCCCCAAGTCACACTTATTGGTATACCACTAAGACCCCTTGGGAATGGAGGAAAGGACCCCAGGGGTTCAACTTGTCTATGGCCTCAGTATCAACAGATTGTAAGCCAGAACAGTGTACACGGATTTGCTTACAAATCAAGGCATCTGAAACCCCCTCTACTAATTTTTATTATTTTGGTATTGGTATAAATGGAAGAGGAAAAGATCCATATGGGTATATTATAGTAAAAGTGAGTTCAACAAAGTTAACTTCAGAGCCAGTAAAAGTATATTGGGAATATCAGGAAGAGATTGCAAAATTTAATAGTCTCCCTGTTCCACCAAAGGCTAAAAATATGTTTATCGCTTTAGCCCAAGAAGTTGCTCAGAAGTTAATGCTGAGAAATTGCTTCGTGTGTGGGGGAACCAATATGGGAGATGAATGGCCATGGCATGCTAGAGAAGCTAATTATACTGAAATTGAGAAATGGAAAGGAAATTTCACTTACCAGAACACCTATAATGAAACTTGGAGGATGTCCATTAACCTGGTGGGCAATATATGTTACTCAAGGAGTAACCATAGTGGGAGAACTAAACCTATGGGGTTCATGCGCTGTTTGAATACCTGGGAAAACAATACTTGGATATCACAAACGAATCAAAGTGTCCCTAACAACTCTTTATCTTTAATTCCCGAGCTAGCCTTCCTAAAAGATCCTGAAAACGATACCCTCCTCTGGACCACTCCTGATGGGTTATATTGGATCTGCGGAGCATTTGCATATAATATTCTCCCTGCTGGATGGTTTGGGTCTTGTATTCTGGGTGCTATACAACCCTCTTTCTTCCTCTTGCCATTACAAAGAAGACAATTATTGGGTGTCCCTGCCTATGAACATGTGGGAAATTTGGTAAGGCGATCTGTGGCTAAAGTGAGAGAAGGGTTAAAAATTGGGAATTGGAAAGATGATGAATGGCCACCCGAACGAATAATTGCTTATTATGATCCAGCTACATGGGCCCAAGATGGAAGTTGGGGGTATAGGACCCCAATTTATATGTTAAACAGAATTATCCGATTACAAGCAGTAGTAGAAATTATAACCAATAGAACAGCTGAGGCTTTAACTAAGTTGGCTAAAGAAAGTGTTTTGTCCAGAACATATATTATGCAAAACCGCTTGGCTTTAGATTATTTGTTGGCTAAGGAAGGAGGTGTCTGTGGAAAATTTAATTTAACAAATTGCTGTATACAAATTGACGATTCAGGCATGGTAATTAACCAGATAACGAAAGACATGGTTAGAATTGCACATGTACCTGTACAAACTTGGACAGGGATATTAGATGATGAAGGGTTCTTGGGAGGAATATTCAGAAATTGGAAACAGGCTCTGTTTATGGTATGTATTATATTCATTGGAATAATGATGTTACCTTGTCTGATTCCAGTAATAAAGAACCTAGTAAACAGTTCAGTCCACGGTATATTACAAGCCCAACAAAATGCTAAGTCCATAATGGTATTAAAAGAAATTGAGGACCAAATCCAGTTGTTGGAAAATATGAATACTTCACATCCAATGAAAACTACCAAAGAAGAAACTAGTAGGTTAAATGAAATAAAAGAAAATATTAAACTAGTGACCAAATAAGAAATGGGGGAATTGAATGAGAAGGTTCTAGAAAAGTTTAAAATTTTCTACTCAGCAACAGGCTCACTGAGCATGTGCGGGAAAACCTGAGTACGTGCCTGGAACTAGGTATGGAATGTCTACATGTAGAGAACAAAAGAATGCCCATATATGGTAAGGTAGGAGGTAAGGTAGGATAATTGTGTCGTCTGATAGGTTTGTAACCTGCCACGTCAGGAATAGCTGACGTAGGTATAGGAGGAGATAGGGAGAGGTATAACTGCTGTTACGCTTCTGTAGGAGGTGTGGCTTTTCCCTGCAACTCTTGTGAGTACGGGTTAAGTCCACCACGCTTTGCAAACCGTCTTTTCTGCTAAACTTGATTTTTGATAATAAAAGAAACTTTATTCTGCTACTCCGAACCTCGTCTCTGAATTTCTTTCAAGGAATTCTACAAACAGTATTACAGATATTGTCGCAGGATGGAAGCAGTTCCTAGTAAGGCCGTCTTTTGCAATTGACTAATGGCAAATTTATCAATGCCAATGGTGTTCAAATGATACTCCAGTTGTTTTGGGATTGCACCTAAGGCACCTATTACTATTGGTACTACCCTTGCTTGCCTTTGCCACAGTCATTCTATTTCTATTTGTAGGTCTTTGTATTTTGTTATCTTCTCAGTTCTTTCTCTTCTATTCTGCTGTCTTCAGGCACTGCCATAACCATTATTATTATTATTATTATTATTATTATTATTATTATTATTATTATTATATCATCTATCATCTATCTATATCTATCAAAGTTGTATGCCACCTGATTCCCAATTCTGGGTGGCTCACAACAACCCAAAAGAAGGGAATTATAGTAAAACCAATTAAAAGGAAGAAAGAGAAAAATTGACAAAAACAACAGACTGGATGGAAATGAAGGAAAGGGTCTTACTCTCCTAGACAGCTGACAGCTGATTTGTTTAGGCAGAGGGAGAAAAATATAGCCTTTTTGGTTTAGAGTTAATTGTATTGAAAATAGTGGGACGTAAAGCACCTAAGGAACCATTTAACTTCTAGCAATTCATTTTTAACAGACCTTGACATATATTTTACTATAGATTATTTTTTTCAGTTTTTTTATGAGTGCTCTACTTAATTCAGTAAAGCATTGGACACAAAAGCATTAACTAAATAACTGTATTGTTGTAAGTTTAGGATTACAGTAAATGCCTCTGATCTAGCAACACATCTACTACCAGTACATTGGTAATATTTTATAAATAGAAAGGAAAATAAAGGGAAAAAACATTATCTGTAAAGATCAACCACATTCAGGAAGGATATCAAGTTGTTTCTCCTTATGTCTTCAGTTTTCTGAATAAAGCAACTGGAGCTAAAAGTTTTATCCGTTCCTTATTAAGAAATGACATTCAGCTGAAAGAAAAATCTTTATATGGAATATTGTTTTTCTGTTTTACTTTCAAAGATGACTTCATTTCTCAAGGACTTAAATTTAGAGCAATTCTCAATTTGTGATAACAAGACAATGAGAAAGGTCAATCCTTTTTAAAATGTTAGGGGTTTGGGATACTCAGAATTATTCTCTTACGGCTGCTATGATTCACCTTGCTATTTTGAAATAATCCAGTTTCTTTAAAAGTCCTAAATACTTTTGTATTTCTCATTTTAAAGGGTCAACATGATGAATCATTATCAGAACCTATTATTGCCTAATTTAGTTAATACCTCTGATTTGGGTTTTTGTGTAGGAAGCTGGGGGCTGCACTTCCCCAAAGTTGAGAGAGGACAGAAAAAAATATTTCATTTCATTTGAATTTAAATTAATATGGTACAACTGATATGATTATTGGATACATGAGATTAATGTTCCTTTTCTGCTCCATTACAAAGAATTACAGTTTGATCATAACTTTTAGATCAGCTTGAGGACTTCATCCAAGAATTTTAAAAATTACTCTGAAGTTCTGTATTTTAGTGTCCTTAATGGATGTGTCCCATTTGTATTATCCAGAAGGTACTGTTGAAGAAGTAGAACTATTTGTATAAACCATATAAATCTCACATTATAAGAAGTCTGTATTAAAGTCTTTTTTAAACATTAATGAACAATGCTGGTTATGTCTAGCCTTCTTAACATTCGCAAATGGAAAGCTTTATATTTTCTCCAGGTCTTCTTCCCCAGATGGATATTGATTAAGATTCTGTAAAAGACCTGGTTTGGACAGGTGTCCAGATTTGGCAGTGGTAAGAACTGAAGAAACCATGTTATGCCAGTGTAACCAGGACCCCTTTAATGGGGACTTTTAATCAAGTAGTGGAGAGGAATGTCTTTTATATCTTGTATGCTGTTGTAGCTCTTGATGCTTCAATTGTTAGGTTGGGAAACGTATTGGAGACAATAACATGTAATAAATTAATCCATATCCTTCAACATATTTCCAAAGCTGATTTGTACAGATTACTTATTTATCTCCCAATCTTCTGGACCTTGAGCCAAAATGTTGCACAATTATATAAATATAAAGTAACAATCCCAACTGTTACAATGCTTCCAGTCTTGATTAACATGATAAACTTTCCTTGCCTCATATTATCCCTGAACTCTGAGTCTTGCCTGCCAAAGTTTCTCCTTGCCAAGCTTTTGTTAACCATAGTCTGTTAAATAAATTATAGTGGCTGAATTCACACACTTCACAAAGCTATAAAATCATAGTTTACAAAGCATAATGCTAACTTGAACAGTACAGTAAGCCCAAACCAAATTATGTTATGGTTCGGCACAATACATGAAATCCAATTAGAGTCACAATTGCTTCCCAAACCATTATTTTCCAGATGTCATCTGTATTAGGATGAAAGAACTAGGCTGCAGTCACCTTCTGATAGTTAGATGGGAGCAAAAGGGAACCGTTCTAAGATTATTGCAACACAAATCTGATAGCTCTAGTCTGGATTCCAGGTTTATTTTTTATTTTCTGTCCTCTTCTCTAGGTCAGCCTTTGCTCCCATTGCTTCAGACTGATTATTCTTGGGCTACAGTTCTTATCTGATCTTTAAAGAATATTCTAATCTAGTCTTCAACCTGATGACCAACCAGCATTGTCCATTGGAGCGCAGTTTGGGACAGTGGGAATTATAGAACAAACACTATGATGAATACAAGGTGGGAGATACAGTTTTATCCATTCCTCTATATCTTAATTTAGACAAGACCATGATATAGGCTGGGCTAGTGAAGCATCATGCCAGTCAAGGCAAGCATTAAATAAATCAATAACTCATAGATAAAATTTCTCTTTCTCTCTTTCTCTCAATCTGTCTCTTTGGCAAAAAGAAGCTTATAACTTAGGTTACAGTAGTATCCAGGGGAAGATACCACTTTCACCTAGATCTCAGAAAGAAGCCATAGGCAAAATTCAATCTGTAAGGATTATGTTCCTCCTAGGGCACTCCCCTGTGCTATTTGCAATCTCACCTGGCTCCATAAGATTTTGACTGACTGTGCTACAGCATGGTAGCTTCCAATTGGCAGGCTTCATGTTAAAATAGTATACCAGGGGGTCAAGAGCACTGTTGATACTAGCAAGAGCCATAGCTGCACGCTGGGCTGAGCAAGTGAAGTGCAGCAATCCTGGAGCTGAAAGAACGCCAATACGGCCCAGGGCGTGTAGCACATGGATGATATGAAAAGGGAGGAAACAGAAGGTGAGCAGGCTCGTCACCATCAAGAGGGTTTGAAGGGAATGCCTACGCAATGAAGATGCCTGCATTGTCCCATGGCTTAGATTCATAATTCGGTGGGCAATCACAATAGAACAGATAATGATAGTAAGGAAAGGCAGGAAGAAGCCCAGGGCTGAGGAAGATAGGATTATGGCTGCCAGACGTCCACTCCAGACTTGGGCTGGGAAGTTTTCCATGCAGGCGGTGTTTCCACTGGAGAAGAGATGAGTCACGGTGCTCTTGGAGAAGAAGATCAGCAACCCAATCCCTACCAAAGACCAGATAGTTATGGAGAGCAGCACACGATACAGAGGCCATTTGAGGCGCAGGTAGAGGACAGGATGGAGGACAGCCACATAACGCTCCAGGCAGATGCAGGCCAGGAAAAGGGTGCAGCTGAACATGTTGGCCAGGAAGAGGGCATTGGTGGCCTTGCACAGGCCTTCTCCAAAGGGCCAGTCATTGTGCCTGGCATGATACACTGCCTGTAATGGCAGCGACAGGGCAAAGAGCAGGTCAATGATAATCAGGTTGTAGATGAAGATCATGATGGGTGGAGCCTGAGCTCGGTAGACCCAGGAGCTCCACAAGGCCACACCATTGGAGGCTAGGCTCAGGATGCAAACCAGGCTGTAAATGATGGGTAGCAGTAAGTGCTGGAATGCTGCTTCAGCAACACACTGCAAATGTGCTGAGTTGTTAGGGAAAGAGTTTGGCACTTCCCTCAAAGGGAAGGACTCCCCTGATGCATCTGTGCCATTCCTCCACATCTGCAAAACAAAAATAAGACTTGCAGGTTAGAGTAACCCAGAGTGCAAGAAACACCAATCACAGCAGGCTTAATGTGAAGTGGAAACTCTGAGCATGGAGGGTTTCCATTGCTTTGCTGGATGCATGCAGCTGTAAGGGCAGAAATAGGGGTGGAGAAAGGTTGGACTGTCTACATTTTTGGGGGGCCTATCTGCTTGGCCTGGTGCAAAGATGCCCCCTGACTATTTCTGAAGAACATGAATGCACAGCATCTTTCTCAAACTTGTTTCCTGGCCCGCCACAGAAGCAGCCTTGTTCTGTTTTTCTCTCTTCACTTCAAAAGGGGTGTTTTTCAACTTGCACTAGCACAAGCCATGCCAAGTGGTCAGTCTAAAGCTGATTACTCTGAGAAAAGTGTAGGGTTAGGGTCTGTCCTGGTCCTAATTGCCCAGAGGCTACTGTGGACATGGCACCCTATCTGGCCACTTATTTTCAGCAGCAAGAGAGTCAGGGCTGTCCCATTGGACTAAAAAGCCACCTCACTCACTTCTTTTCCCAGCCTATGGGTAGCACATGAAACAGGGGAAGAAAGAGAAAGAGAGGGGCATTTCTGCCAGCAACAAAAAACCCACTTCCACCCATGGAGTAGCTGAAGGGATGCTACCTGTAATATATTGGCCACAACTATTTTAAATCACTTGCTTAATGTCTGACCTACATTGCTGTATTGTTTAACAGTTGCTGTTACTGAAAGCCAGACTGGCTGTCTCCAAGCTGATAATGAGGTTTGGGGCGGGAAACTGTTACTTTAAACCTATTGGTTGCCACCTAAAGGCTAACTGTATAAATAGCTGTTCAGCAGCCTTTAGGGCTGCTTCTGTTCTGAGTTAATAAACTTGTTTTCTGTTTCAACACTCTGCCTCATTCAATGCCTGAAGAACCGAAGATATAACACTACCCCTGCTTCCACTCCCCCAAAAGTCGATGAAAGGGGCCCTTCAGTCCACAATCCTTCCATAATGCCATGGCAACTTTCCCACCGAGGTGCCTGCAAAAAAGCTGCAGCTGGAAGCCTCTCACTGGAGCTTTGGGTGACTCTACTATGAGGTTGCAGATGCAGGGTCACTTCAGACCCACTGAGAAAGCAGCTCTTTAGCTGCCAGTCCACGGAGAGGTGAGGGTCTGCATAGTGCAAGAGGCAGCAAAAGGGGAAAAAAATCTCCTTCCCTCCCTTTTCTTTACCTGCCCCCTGACCGGCAGGAGAAGTAGATAAGGGACTCTCTCACTGCCAGTTCCCCAATCCTAGACTAATTGCCCTATGGCAAAGTTTCTCAATCTCAGCAATTTTAAGCATGCTGGCTGTGAATTCTTAAGGCTGAGAAACACTGCCCTATGAGATTGGAGACCATGCAGCAGAATTCCCGTAGTAGATCTTCTGCTGCCAGAAATCGGCATCAAAGAAGGCATATCCCACCCACTTCTCTTCTCCTTCTCCCACTTGTGCTGCAGACAGTCCCTCTCCTCTGCTACCTTGCTAGGGCAAAATAGGCATTTGTAATGCAATCAGCCCTTCTTCAAACCAGTATGGTTTTCTGCTGTCTCTCGCCTTGAATAATAATAACGCTTTGGTGTGGTGGAACATTTAATGTTTTCTTTTCATCATCAACCGAAGGAAGAAATTCATATCAACTATTCAGCTATTCATCCCTTCTGTCACAAGGCATGGGCCAATAAACGGTTTCAGTTCTGGCACAGAATTTACTAACCTTGGCAACATCCAAAGTGGGTGTCAAATCTAGAATTCTGAGGAAGAGCGATTCTTGATGGCGGGATTCTGGGAATTGAACTTTTCCTGATCTTGAAGATGCTCAGGTTGCTGTGGGAAAAATCCTCATGCTTTCCAGTCCATCTCCCTCCCTTTACAATCTCCTTCAATAGGCACAAAATTGCACTTTATGTCCAGGAGGACAGGATATTGCAAACTACTAGAAAAGGGCATATTTTCCCCTCCTACGTGATGTATATTCTCCTTGATTGACATGATTCTAAGAAAACTGCATATCTCAAGGACTCATAACACATGAGAGAGAAATATTTTATTTAGCTGGTTGTGTTATAAAGCAAGCTTCAGAACTGGGTGCTGGGGGAAGCATCTGTTTCATTTAGTCCTGCTGCCAGCTTCCCTCCCCCCAAGTACTTTTGACAGCTCATTTCCTCTCTGTTTTCCACACTTCCCGCTGAAGTTTCCCATGCCCCTAACTTCTGTCATAAAAGGAAGCGCTCACCATACCCCAGAGAAATTAGCTGGCTGAGAGAGATTGCAACATTTCTTACTCAAAGATGAGTATCAGTCTAGCATCTTTTAATTTTTTTTTCTTGCATATGCTGTATTATTTATTAAGCTAAACCACACTAAAATGCCATTTGCAAATTAAAGGCAGAGCATTCTGTAACTAATATAGGAATGCCTCAGAAAGCGGGAGCAAGTTGCCATATTGGTAAGGCCACACTTGGAATACTGCATGCAGTTTTGGTCACCACGATGTAAAAAAGATTGAGACTCTAGAAAGAGTACAGAGAAGAGCAACAAAGATGATTAGGGGACTGGAGGCTAAAACATATAAGGAACGGTTGCTGGAATTGGGTATGTCTAGTTTAATGAAGAGAAGGACGAAGGGGACATGATAGCAGGGTTCCAATATCTCAGGGGCTGCCACAAAGAAGAGGGAGTGAAGCTGTTATGTCCTGGGCCGGCAGGCACAGGCTGCAGCGATTGGCCCAGGCAGACCATGTGGATGCCTGGGACAAGAAAGGCTGCTCCCAGCCTTGCATGCACACGCACGGCGGGAAAAGATCCTTTGCAATGATTGGCCAGCAAGGGATTGTGCAGGGGGGCTATAAAATGGTGCGGACCCCTTTTATAGCCCCCCTGCACAATACCTTGCTGGCCAATCATTGCAAAGGATCTTTTCCTGCTGTGCGTGTGCACGCAAGGCTGGGAGCAGCCTTTCTTGTCCCGGGCATCTACATGGTCTGCCTGGGCCAATCACTGCAGCCTGTGCCTGCCAGCCCAGGACATAACAGAAGCTATTCTCCAAAGCACCTGAAGGCAGAACAAGAAGCAACGGATGGAAACTAATCAAGGAGAGAAGGAACTTAGAACTAAGGAGAAACTTCCTGACAGTTAAAACAATTAACCAGTGGAACAACCTGCCTCCAGAAATGGTGAATGCTCCAACACTGGAAGTTTTTAAGAAGAGACTGGACAGCCATTTGTCTGAAATGGTATAGGGTTTCCAGCCTGAGCAGGGGGTTGGACTAGATGACCTCCAAGGTCCCTTCCAACTTTATTATTATTATTATTATTATTATTATTATTATTATTATTATTATTATCATCATCATCATCATCATTATGGATTATCGCACAGTCAGCCAGATGTTCAGACTGGATTTCGCATTTTGTCTACCTATTGAGTCCTTACCCAGGACCTGGAATAGGCAGATGTGGATGTTTGATGGTATTACAGATATCGTCGAAGGATGGAAGCAGTTCCTAGTAAGGCCGCCTTTTGCAATTGACTAATAGAGAATTTGTCAATGCCAATGATGTTCAAGTGGTGCTCCAGTTGTTTTGGGATTGCACCCAAGGAGCCTATTACTATTGGTACTACCCTTGCTTGCTTTTGCCACAGTCTTTCTATTTCTATTTGTAGGTCTTCGTATTTTGTTATCTTCTCCAGTTCTTTCTTGTCTATTCTGCTGTCTCCGGGCATTGCCACGTCCACTATCCAGACTTTTTTGTCTTTCTTGTTGACAATTGTTAAGTCTGGGGTGTTATGTTGCAGGTTATTATTATTATTATTATTATTCCTTCCCACATTAATAAGCATATAATTTTCTTTGTATCTTTCTTTCCAATATCTCTAAGGATTTGTTTAAGAAGGTATACAGTTGTATTAAGAATGGTATCAATTTTAGACATTGCTTTTTTTGGATTATCTAATATATGTATAGATTAAATTTTCTGATGCCTATTTTACTTAGCGAGTCAATTACAAATTGCATTCTACAGAGTAAAAAGAACACAAAGATTGAGAACCCTGCATTTTTCCTATTATTTTTTTCCAATTAATGGTTTACTTCCAATGTAGGACCCTTTGAAATTAGTATAAATTTCTACCTTGCAATTTTTTTTTTTTAACTATTCCCGTAAGAAATGTATCTAGCAGATTGGGAGAACTTGAAGATGGAATTAACAGAAATGCCATCATCATTAAAATTTTATTCTCCCAGTTCCAGACCAAGAGCAATTCAGAAACACATTATCAGTTGTAAATGTGTTCCATCTTTTAGGAAAACAAAAACAGATTTTATCCAAATTTATCTTAGGAAGTAAGCTATGTTCACATTTCACCCACAAGGCAGAGTAGTCAGAGGCTGTTAAAATGCATTAAATTGAAATAATTTGAAAGGCAGATAAAAAGAAAAATTATATTGCCACCTGTTATGTCCTGAGCCTTGCAAGCGGGCTCGGGGCGTTGCAGGCGGTCCCGGGCAGGTGCAAGCTGCCCGGGACCAGACAGGCTGTCACCAGTGCTTGTGCTCATGTGCAAGTGCTGGCGCGCGAAAAGTAACACATTGACCCGGGAAAGTCCTATAAAAGGAGGCTGCGAGGTGTGGGCTTTTGCCGCCATATTCCAATATAAGCTGAACTGAAGAATAAAGGTTTCCTGAGAACTACAACTGCTTCTCGTGTCTTACCATTTCGCGACGGACTCAACACTGGCGACGAAGGTGGGATTGCCTTACATCGGAAAAGAGAAGGTGTAAGCTTACCTGAGTGAGTCCGGAGCGGCAGGAACGGCATTGACTCGGCAGCTACCCGCCAATCCAGCGTGCATTCGGGGGTAGGCTGGCTGATAGACCCTTCCTGATACGAAATGGCGAAGATTGGAAGGCTTTCGGAATTCGACGTCTCACACCCAGAGAGGTGGGAGTCCTACGCAGCCAGGGTGGAAAACTATCTCAAAGTGAACCAGGTGAGGGAAGAGAGCTTGAAGGCTGCCACCCTGCTGTGCATTTGCGGTCAAGACGCATTCGAAATCGCTGAGAACCTCGCAGCACCTGTTCCTTTAGAGTCTGTCAGCTACGCAGATCTAAAAAAGTTACTGAAGGAGCACTTCCAACCTACGATGTCCGTCATCGCGTGGCGCCATACCTTCGAGCAGAGGGATCAATGACCCGGAGAATCGGCCAAGGAGTACATTGCCGCACTGAGGAAAGCCGCCAAACATTGCGAGTTCAAGGACCTCGAAGAACGACTGAGGGACCGATTTGTGTGCGGGCTAAGGCATCGAGAGTTGCAACAGAGACTTTTCACCAAGGAGGACTTGTCTTTCCAAGATGCCTTGAGAGAGCTCACCGCAGAAGAAGCAGCGGGCGGCGCCATCAAGAACATGCGGCCGATCAGAAACAGTCCAGATGCTGCATCCGTGCACCAGGAAGAAGTCCAAAGAAACTCCGAGGAGGATCCGGACGAGGAAGTGGACCGTCTCCACCCCACAAAGGAAGGAAAACCAAGAGGAAGCTCTTCAGCTCTCCCCAAGTGCATCAGTTGTGGAGGTCGCCACAAGAGAGCCGACTGCAAGTTCCGCTCTGCTATCTGCCGGGCGTGCGGAAAACAAGGACACATTGCAGCTGTGTGCCTGGGCTGTCAGAAGATACAACCTCAGGAAGAATTGAGCCTGAAAGGTACCAGGGTCCCCAGCCAGAATAGGGTGGGGTTTTGTGCTTCGCGAAGAAGCATCTACAGGACAGGCACACACAAGCCCATTAAGAAAAAGCTGTCACTTAAGGTGAAGCTACAAGGGGTTCCATTAACTATGGAACTGGACACGGGGTCTGCACTTTCGATCATTTCTATGCACACATTTAGGAAGATTTGTTCCGGCAGCGGAACCCAGGCCAAGTTGAGGCCTTCTGACATTGTGCTAACGGATTTTCAAAACTCCAGAGTGTGTGTTAAGGGGGAGGCCACCCTTAACGTACAGTATAAGGATTTTGAGGGTCCACTAGACCTACTAGTAGTAGAGGGTGAACGAACGAGTCTCATAGGACTCGAGTGGTTTGAGGCCTTGGGGATACACGTCACAGGGCTCAACAGCCTACAAACACTCGACCTACAGGAAGTCTGCAAAGAATTTGCAGACGTTTTCAGCCCCCAGCTGGGCACATACAAAGGACCCCCTGTGTCATTAAAGTTAGACCCCACGGTCACTCCCATTAGAATTAAAGCAAGAAGGGTCCCTTTTGCTTTAAAGAGTAAAATTGACACTGAGTTGGACAAACTGATCCAACAAGGAATTCTAGAACCTGTTGACTCCAGTCCTGGGAGACCCCCATTGTCACGCCTCTTAAGGCAAATGGGGACATTCGCATCTGTGCTGATTACAAATGCACTCTAAATAAGGCATTGCAGCAACATGCCTATCCTGTTCCTGTGGTCAGTCATATCCTAGCCTCCCTCAAGGGGGGGCACGTTTTTGCAAAGCTTGACCTAGCTCAAGCATATCAACAGCTGCCTGTTGATGATGATGTTGCTATAGCTCAGACTATTGTGACCCACAGAGGGGCTTTCAAGGTAAAGAGACTTCAATTTGGAGTAAATGTCGCTCCTGGGATTTTCCAAAGCGTAATGGAAAACACACTACGGGGTATACCAGGGGTTTGCCCCTATTTTGATGATGTCTTAATTGCAGGAGACTCCACACACATTCTAGCTGAAAGGCTAAGGGCTGTCCTGTTAAGGTTCAGGGAAATGGGACTCAAACTCAAGAAGGACAAATGTAAAATTGGGGTATCTTCTACTGAGTTTCTGGGGTTCAAAATTGATGCTGCTGGGATTCATCCTGCTGAATCCAAACTAAAAGCCATTATGCAAGCCCCTAGGCCAAAGTCTAAGGCCGAACTGCAGGCTTTTCTGGGCCTTCTGAATTTCTACAATTCCTTTCTTCCACATAAGGCTAGTGTAGCTGAGCCTCTTCACAGGCTATTAGATAAACAGGCAGTGTGGCAGTGGTCACAAACACATGAGGCTAGTTTCAATGAGGTCAAGGCCTTACTCACTTCTAACAGTGTACTTGCACACTTCAATGAGTCCCTTCCTGTGTGCATCGCTTGTGATGCTTCCCCTTATGGGGTGGGTGCTGTACTGAGCCACCTCAGGGCTGATGGAACTCAGGTTCCTGTTGCATATTACTCCAGGACATTGTCTGCAGCTGAGCGCAACTATGCTCAAATAGACAGGGAGGCCTTAGCTGTTGTTGCTGGAATTAAAAAATTCCATGATTTTTTATATGGTAGGCAATTCACGGTCTTCACTGACCATAAGCCTTTGCTGGGACTGTTTACCACACGTAAACAAACTCCCCAAATCATCTCTCCCAGGATGCTCAGGTGGTC